CAAGTTATTAGCAAGTTATAAGGAGTTTTGACTGATCACTGCAATCTGAAGTGCTCTCTGGGTATCCCTGGGTGATAGAAAGTCTAGACCTGGTGCTAATCCTATCCCTTCTGTGTTATTCTGAAAAAGGATAAGAGTATTCCCCCATTGGGGCTGGAGAGATGGCTCAGAGGTTAAGAGCACCGACTGCTCTTCCAGAGGTCCTGAGTTCAATTCCCAGCAACAACATGGTGGCTCACAACCATCTGTTATGAGATCTGGTGCCCTCTTCTGGTGTGCAGATATACATGGAAGCAGAATGTTGTATACATAATAAATATAAAAAAAAGAGTATCCCCCCTTGCCAACGGAAGCTGACTCCATAGGCCTTGTTCTTGCTGGTTTGAAAGCCTAACCAAGTTATTACTTTCCAAGAGAGGGTCACTTCCTCACATAATGCCCCCATCTCTTTTCATTGCCCACAGATTCATCACTGCAATTAGATCCCAAAATAATTCAGGACAATAAGGTTGACAAAATAATGGCAAGACTTTATAAACTTGAATGAACGAAAATTCCAGTGAAGATGTATAGAATTAATTCTAAGGATGATGCTAGACAAGAAGAAAGCATAATTCTAAACCAGTCTAACTTTACTGGTAGACACATATATCAGAGATTTTCATTTCAGAATATCAGAATCTAATATTAAACAACATTTTTTGGTGTCTGAAACTGATTCAATAATCATTACATGTATCCAAAAGAGGTAGGGTAGAATAAAAAGCCCATTAAAACATAAGGCTTAATTGGACACTAGTATTCTCACTTTAGAAGCTAACAAAATAATGTTTTGCTGATTGTATATGGAAAGGGTTAGATCCGTGGCTAGGATTTAGCAGAGAGCTTAAGGCTCCTCTCTCTCTGACGGAAGATGTTAGTTGTGCTTAATGAAAGTGGAATGCTGACAATTTCTTGATATAGTGAGAAGGGACGATGGAATAATAAGTTTCTTCCATCTTCTGGTGATTAATTTATAATAGCGTCCAAAATCTGAAATGGATGGTATTAGCAGTAAGGCCTTTTCTTTCCTTTTTTATATACATTCTTCCCATGGAAGAGCACATGATATCAATTCCCATTTTCTTCAATAATACTTAAGTTTACACTTCCAATTTGAATTCCTCATTTGAGTAAGAGAAGATTTAAGGATGCCACTCAAAAGACTTGACATGTTCCCAGTCTTGGATAAACATTAGCATGCTGTTACAACCATATTTGAGAAGGTCTATAAAAAAAAGGAGGTGTATGCTACTGGAGCTAGTCCAGCCCATAGTAGGACAAATTCACAAACTCCATGTTGTAAGTATGCTGTTGGTCCACATGGAGTGGAATAAGTTTGCCTGTTCTTGGGGACAAGGTATGAACTATTTGAGAGAAGCTATGGTGGTATCATTTCAAAGGGATTCAAAATGAGGAAAGATCAATCAAATCTTAAAGGAGAAGTTTCAGGGGATCATGAAAAAGCAGGCACTGACCCAAGAAAAATGTCATCAGGGAAAGAGCCACTGCCCTCTCCACCATAATAGGCATAGGCAAGTCAAGCCCAAATAGAGGAAGTAGAATGTTTAGATCTATAAGGCTGAATTGGGTTACTATAGTGAGCTACAATTTTAATGACTGAAATGAGAATGCTATTGTGATAGAAAAGAATTTCAAAAGTAAGAAATTTGCCCAAGGTTTCATTGGGACAGGAAGAACAAAGCTAGTGAATATGACATGAAACAGAGGTGGGGGGGTTACTTATTTCAGTTAAAACTGCACAAGCAGGTCTGTCCAGGGAACCATGAAAGAGGGCCAGCTGCATGTCTAGCACTGAACGCTGGGGAGCTCCTGCCATCCTACGTAAGGCCTCCTGTGAGGACTGAACACTTACCTTATGACACGTATGCAGATATAATTCAATCCTTTCCCAGAGCAAAAAACAACTAACTATCTGCAAAGCAAAGAAGAAGAGATGGTTACTTTGAAATGACTAATCCTGCCCATAGCAGTTAGTAGCTCCAGTGCCTTTCACAATGGGCACCACTCTCACTTCTTTTTATTCTCTCTTGCCATGGTACTTCTCCTCCTTTTAAGGTTTCTTTTCCCCATGCCACTGACACTTGAAGCCAGTCCAAATGTAATTTCCTATCAGTAGCTTCCACCAGCACCCTAGGAAGAATTCATTATTCTTTCCTCTGGGATCTCACAGCCATTACCACTGATGCTTCTTGAGCTCCTGCACATTTATTTTTCCCTATGATCGACTTCATGCTTGGTATTACTTAGATTCACTTAGAAGAGAATAGAGTTTAAGAGCCAATCTCCCAAGGGTCATTTAAAAGCTCTTTCCAGAACTGGTACTGATGTTGTGATGGCCATTAACATTGGTATATGCTCAATACACTTTAAGTCTAAATCTAGCCAGTCATCAAGTCAGTATGAACATAGAAACATAAAACTTGAGTCCTCAGATGTTAACATATTAATGTACAAAGCACTTACCTCTTACCACAATAATTTTATGTATGTGATTTTATTTATTTTTATTTAGCTCTCTAAAAGTACCATTTTATTAAATATTATCATTTTCGTTTGAAAATCAAAAAGCAACCAAGGCTTAGAAAAGTTATGTGGCTTGTAAGTAATCTTTTTTTTTTCACTGCTGGGAATCAAACTCGGGGTCTTGCACAAGCATTCTCACTACTGAGTTTCACACTGACCTTTCAAAGTAAAGTACTCAAAAATTAAAGCCAGGCCTATCCCCTTTTTTTAATGTTCTCAAAGAGGTAGGCTAAAATAGAGTCTATTAAAACCATGACTCTGCTTGACACGAATATTCTCACATTGGAAGCTAACAACCCCATTTCCCACTAATTGTGTATAACCAGGGTACAATTCAGAGACCCAGAATTTAGCCTAGAGCATATACTACATCTGCATCTTCCTCACTGAAAGGAAAGATTCTTAGTTGGCCTCTACCTTCACATCACAACTTCCAGAATGATTTTCCTAAAATGGGAACCCATGTTTACCAAGTTATCTTACTTTTTACTTTCAAAGCCTTTCAAAATCTGTCACAAGTTGTGTCTCCCTTTTATTCTACATTACTCCCTTCTTAACAAAATATCAAATCTATTTCTCTGTTACTACTCTCTCACAATATGCTTTCTCAGCCTACAGTGTTCCTTCACATTTCAGTCCCCCTGTATCCAAATCCATCATCTACTCAAGGATCCACTTCAATGTTGCTTCTCTCTCTCTCCCCCTCTCTGTCTCTGTCTCTGTCTCTGTCTCTGTCTCTCTGTCTCTCTCTCTCTCTCTCTCTCTCTCTCTCTCTCTCTCTCTCTCTCTCTCTGTGTACTTGTCATTGTGGATGGTGATTTGTGCTCATGTATATGCATACCATACATATGTTCATGGACCACTTTTATCTTTGGATAAAAGGTCTTTCACTGAACTTGAAGCTGATTGTTTCAGCTAAGCTACTGGTCAACAAGCTACAGGGACTTACCTCTCTCTGCACAGCCCCCACTGCTGCACTAGGTTTGATTCTGAGATCTGATCTTAGGTCCATATCCTTACATAGCAGACACTTTGCTAACTAAGCTGTCTCCCCAGCCCTCCAATGCTACCCCTTCTAAGAAGTTTTATTTGATGTTCTTTGCTGGCAGTTAGCTCTTCCCTCTTAGAGCTCTACAACAAGTTTCATTTAGGCATCTATAATGATAATTACAAAGTTACATGTGTAGTAGTGAGTTTTGTCTGTGATTCTAAATAATGAAAGGAGAAACAATCATAACTGTATCTCATACCAATCTGTGATAATTTCTTTTCTGTGGGGGACCAAATAATTTTGTTATGGAATATTTTGGGGCCCAGTCTCTAGCTCCTGTAAACATGGAACACCGGAAAGCTCGGTCCACCATTGTATTGCCAGTAGGGCTATTATTGTTTACCATGGCCTCAGGGTAATATGCCTCCTAATTTGCATCTCTGTGCTCCTAAGCATCTGAATAGGCCCTCACCTGGGCAGAGGGATAGGTGTGTGAGTAACTTGTGAGGACAGAAGGTTAGGAGTTAGGGGCGAGCCAGCAGAGGAGAGAGGAGAACAAGGAGAGAAATGGTTTCCTCGTGGTGAGGAAAGGATGGTTAAGAAACAGCAGAAAAGATGGCTAATAAAGAAATGACTCTAGTTCTACAACATGGAACTGAGAGCTCTCTGAAGATGACAAGATGCCTGTGTGTGTTCTTTATGGTTGCTGGGTTGCTAGGAGCTTCCAGGTCCACACACCCCCACTCAGGTAGAACCTCATGGCTGTCGTGGGTTAAAGCTGAGACATGCCGGGTCACGACACTTTTCATGGTCAGTTTGATTAGATTTAGAATCACCATGGAAACACTTCTGCATGTGTCTATAGGAGCTTTTACAGAAAGGTGTAATTTAGGAGGGAAGACTCACTCTGAATATGAGCAGCAACATGTAGCATGAATAATGAAAACCTGGAGTCAGATATTGGGGTTAAAGCTGAAAACCAGAGAAGCAAAGTGGCCAGCCATAAAGAGTTCTCACCTCTACCAATGCTCAGATCAGAGAGGCCATCATGTCCTCTGATTTTAACTACAAACTGCACTGCTCCTCAGACTGCCTAGATTGCAATGCTGTCCACCAAAAACCTCAGATTGCTCCCTGAGACTGCACTGAGCTCCTGCCTTATATTCTATCTAGTGCTGGGATTAAAAGCATGAGCTTTGTTTCTCTTTTAGACTGATTCACTCTCATGTAGCCCAGGGTGGCCTTGAACTCACAGAGATCCATCAGCCTCTGGGATTAAAGGTGTGGCCACCACTGCCTGTCCTCTATGGCTAACTAGTGGCTTAGCTCTTAACATAGGTATGTGGTTAACTAGTGGGTTAGCTCTGCATTTTGATCTTCAGGCGAGCTTTATTTAGTGGACTACAAACATATCACTACAGCAACATTCCATGGGCTGAGGCCCCAGACTGAATAAAAAGGACAAAATGAGCTGGGGGTGAGCCATCTCTCTTGGCTTCCTGACTGATTTAATGTGACCAGATGCCTCATATATCTGCCCCTTGCGCCATTCCTTCTCTACCACAAAAGAATACATCCTCTCAAACTGTAAGTCAAATAAACCTTCCCTCAAGTTGCATTTGTCATCCTTCAGTTTCATTGTTCCAGCTATGAGAAATGGAATGAACATATTATCTCTGCTGAGAACTATATGTGAAGACAGAAACTACATTTTAGTTTTATTGATTTCTACATAATCAGTACTCATTACAACATTTTTACAATAAATAATACATTTTTAGAAGAAAAAATTGCAATTCATATTCAAGGGTTGGACTGGTGTGTCAAAGAGGAAATCAGTGGAAACATGGAATTATGAAATCAAAGTAAGCACACAGTTTTCAGCCAAAGTTATCTTTTTGTTAGGTTCTCCATTACAATGTCTCTTTCTCTTTCATGGTGTGTATTTTTCTTTTTTCTTTTTTCAAAAAGATTTATTTATTTATTATGTATACAGTGTTTTGCCTGCATGCATTCCTGTACACCAGAAGAGGGCACCAGACCTCATTACAGATGGTTGTGAGCCACCATGTGGTTGCTGGGAATTGAACTCAGGACCTCTGGAAGAGCAGCCAGTTTTCTTAACTTCTGAGCCATCTCTCTAGCCCCATGGTGTGTATTTTTCATGCAATGTGACTCTATCATGTCATGCAACATAGACACGGTCATATGCAAATAATTTGCAACTGAGCTAGGTGACTAGCATTTGCATAGTAGAACTGGTTTGATGTATAAGTCCCAAATTGTGGGTGTAATGCACTGGGAGTTTAAATGATAATATTTAGTAAACCAATGGATAAAGTATGAAATGGGAGAATTAAAAAAGGGTGCTCTGTCACTCTCAAAGGGCCAGCTTAATTAGACACATCCTCTAAATAGCATAAATCTCTTTAAGCCTTCCTTTGTGCATAAAATGGAAGAAGCTGATGTAAACCCTGACTCTGGATAGATACAATAGCACAGGAAGGAGCAACCCATGAGGCTGTTCAAGAAATAAAAAATGAGAAGCATCACTCACCAAAAGCAACAAAGTGTAGACAGCCATGATCCCGGCGGTACTCAATATTACAATGGACCACAAGAACCATTGTTTTGTCCCTAGATGAACAACCCTGAAAAAAAAAAGATTCAATCTTAAAAATATAGTGGGAATTAGTAATAGCATCTACATTAAGGGTAGACACGAGAACAGACTAAATGAAGTATTAAAAAATAGAGGGGACCAGGAAAGAAGCACTTTGTGAGTAGATCTGTGAGTGCTTTGGAGATAGGTTTTTATTTTAGTTTTGTACTATAAGCAACCAGCGATATTAATGTAGACTCTGTAAGTGGAGAGATGTTAAAAAGTTATTTATAATATATATCCAAATTTACATCATCTTCAATAAACCATGTGATGTGGAAATTCCACACTATCAAAAGAAAGGAAATCACCCCCTAGATTCATTACATCAATATGACCAGTCATTTCTATCTTTCAAGCTCCTTGTCCGAGTACACATACACTTTCTTACATAATTGCACTCATAACCACCGTATTAATTGCTCTCAACTGTATGAGAGCTATGTCCTAAGCATTCTGCTCCTAAAGTACTAACTGTGGGAAAACTATTTGTGACTTGTTAGGGGAGACAATGTTGTATTTGTGTATGTTTTCTATGTCAAAGACTACTTTTCATTTCAAGAAAACAGAAATGACCTCATTCCCACTCAGAACCTAGAGCAATACTTTAAAGAAATAAAATGTATAGAGTAAGCATATAATCATATTAAAAATAATATTTCAAGGGAAGGACACTCTGTAAAAGGAAGCTCATGTAAGGAGGGCTAGGGATGTAGCTCAGGTTAACTATGTGTCTAGCATATGAGGCCCCAGGTCTGATATATAATCTCAGAGGTTGGGTAGAGAGTAAAAAGAAATAGACCCAATGAAGCTTTCAAAATAGATGAAATTGTGCCCAACAAAACACAATTAATAGAACAATCAGGGGGGAGAAGGAATGGGGGTGAGGGGAGGGAGAGGGAGAGGGGAAGTACATGTGAAACAAGCCTGTTCCCTAACTTGAATTAATAATAATAATAATAATAATAATAATAATAGAACAATCAGAAAAGATTAAAAAATATATCTAAGATCCATCACTGGTAAGATGACTCAGTGGGTAAAAGTGCTGGCCACCAGACATGAGTTTGATTCCCAGAACCCATGTGGCAGAAGGAGAGAACTGACTCGAGTAAGTTGTCCTCTCATTTCCACACATGCACTGTTCTGTGTGGAACAGTTCTGTTCCACACTGTTCTAGTTCTAGTTCTGTCCATTGGGATACATGTACACACACACACACACACACACACACACACACACACACACACACACACACACACACACAAATAAATAAATATTTCTATTTAGTTTTTATTAATTTATGTTTACATCCCAATCCCAGTTCCCCCTCCCTCCTCTTCTCCCGTTCCCCCCTTCTCTACTCCCCCTCACCTCCTATCTGTCCCTCAGAGAGGGTAAGGCCTCCTCTAGGAAGTCTACTAAGTCTGCCCCATCATCTCCTTGAGGCAGGACCAAGGCACCTCTCCACCCCCTACACCTCTGTGTCTAGGCTGGGCAAGGTATCTCTCCATATAGAATGGGTTCTAATAAGTCACTTTGTGCATTACAGTTAGATCTTGAACCCACTGCTAGTAGCCTCATATATTGTCACAGCTGCACCATTGTCCCCTATATTAAGGGAGTCTAGTTCGGTTATGCAGGTTCCCCATTTGTTAGACCTGAGTAAGTGATCTCCCATTAGCTCGGGTCAGCTGATTCTGTAGGTTTCCCCATCATGGTCTTGACTCCTTTGTTCATATTATCGATCCTCCCTCACTCAATTGTACTCCAGGAGTTTGGCTCATTGGTTAGTTGTGTATTTCTGCATCTGCTTCCATCTGTTTATGGAAGACAGTTCTAGTTTCTCTGGGGTTGTGGATTGTAGGCTGGGTATCTTTTGCTTTATGTCTGGTATCCACTTATGAGTGAGTACATACTATATTTATCTTTCTGGTTCTGGGTTACCACATCAGAACTGTTTTTTCTAGTTCTGTCCATTGGCCTGCATAAATAAATATTTTTTAAAAAGTTTTTAAAAATGATTTTGGAGAAGTAAAGACTTGGATCTACAGAACAAAAATAGCATCACTGAAAGATTTTAGTTTGCTGAGAGAAAAAGTTTTGAAAGATTTTAGTTCACAGAGAGAAAAAGTTTCAGACAGGCCTTGGCCCAGGACAAGGAAGTTGGCCCCAACCCGAGGGCAGACAAACAATCCTTTTTGGGCCACACCTGGCTGACCAACAGACAATAAAGGACTTTTCAGGGTATGTTTTATGGTTTTTCCTTTATAAAAAAGCAGGTCATACCTGGGTGACCACTCTAACATGAGATCATACTTTGTAATCAATCACTTTGTGCCCCTTGCCTGTATGCTGATCTGTGTTTTTTTTTCCTATATAAGGAGCCTGGAACCCTTGCTGGGGTGTGCAGCTTTCCCAATATTGCTGACACCCGAATGCGCATTCGTTCAATAAACCCTCTTGCTTTTGCAGGTCTTGGTCTGGTTTCTGGGTCTTGGGGGCTCCTTGGGATCCTGAGGCCCTTAGGGGTCTGGGGGTCTTTCACACCAAGTAACAGGTAAGGTTTTCAACAATGTTAGAAGGCATCAGGCCAGAAAAGCTGAGAAGTCTGAGAGTGGTCCAGAAGTAGTTTAATCATGAAAGGGAGCTGAGAAGAAATATGTGTCCCTCTGTTCAGAGTTCCAAGGGACCCCTAAAGACAAAAGAAGGACACAAAGGCCATAGAAAAAACAGATAAATCAGGGTTGGGGGGACATAAATCGTGAAGAAAAAGAAGTATGGGCATCAGTAATAAAACAAAGATGAGAGAGAATCCTTATCTGAAGGCTGGGGATGTTGGGAGTACAGAGAAAGCTGTGAACATCATTTGGTCTGCAGTGTGTGACTTAGCATAGGTGGAAAGGAAGTAAAAGTTTGGTCCTGAATATTTGACTACTGCCCTAGAGTTACACCTTTTACCTTCAAGCTGTGCAAAATCCACTTTTGTCCACCCTACTAAACCACCAGGTCTTTTCAACCGGGGAGAACCCAAATGGGTATCCAAAGAAGCAACCCATGTACTAATAAAAGTACAGAAAGTGAACTCAACTCACCAGTCAAAGCTATTGTATTCATTGGAGGTTTCTGCCCACACGAACAGAAAAATTGCAGACAAGATGAATGAAATCACCAGGCATACATAAAAAATCTGCTCTTTCTGGAAAGATAAAAATGTGTCAGTGTATATAGTTCTGGTGTTGGACATTACCCTCTCTAGGCTAGGATAATCTGAGGTTTTATAAGGAGAGGAATAAAAACAAGACTGTAAGCATACATAGAAAGGGTATCCTGACAAGCTGAAGAGACCTTATGGGCACTATCAGGAGTGTAGCTGGGTGATGAGCAAAGGAGTTGACACAGTCTTATACACACTCCTACAAAAGCTGAGTGGTCCTTTAAAAAGCATGTTACTAAACAATGTCTGTTCAAATCCTCCCAGAGCTTCCTATGCTATTTTACCATCACCATCCAAAGAACCTTCCATAGTCCATAAATTGTATAGGATTAGCCCTTAGCCATCCCCCACCTCATGTCTTCACCCTGACTCTCTTTCTAGACATCAGTCACTCTAGCTGCTTTCTGTAACACATCAAATGTCATCTCTACTCCAAGGCAGGTACTTAGCAGGTCTGCCTGAAGTGCATTTGTCCCAACACAAGGCTGGCTCTCACTCCATTTGGAGATGGATCAAAGGATTTGTTTTCATAGGTCTCTAACCACTCCCCTGTCTGAATTCTAATATATTTTCTACTTTATCTTCAAAGATCTTATTACTATTTGAAAACATTTTTCATCTATTATTTATTGCATAATGTATCTCACTGGAATTTAAGCTGCTGGAGGCCAGAGAAAGGCTTCAGCTGTCTTGGCTACTATGGCACACGTAACTGATAAGCTTAATAACTTTCTACTAAATAAATCTGTTTCTATTTTGTCTTGAAATTTTTCAAGCGTTCCTCTCTGCTTGTAGAATAAAGGTCAGTTTTTTTAAGCGTAAAGTAAAGATGTTATAATTTCATCTAAATTTTATTTTCTCATCCTAATTATTATTTATTCCTTCAAATACCCCCAAATTCAGCACTAGAAATCGAATTCTCCTTAAACACACTACTGTTCTTTCCTATCTTTAATTTTTTTTTTGGTTAATTCCCCCTCCACACACATACTCAGAATCTTCTTGTATATATTCCTGTTTATCACTTTCCCAAGTTAGTGACCCTAAGAACACTACAGTAATAACACCCATCAAGTAATAACTGTGTATCATGCATGTCCAATTCAAAGCATATTCTACATAACAGCTCTTTTATTCTCATAGCAGCTCCTGTAGTGGGTTTTGCTGTTAATGTCTCCCTTATTCTAATAAGGATTCTGACACACAGAGATGTTAAGTGACTTTCCTAAGCTCTTATAAGAATGAGTCACTAATTTAGGGATGGTCAGTAGCAAAGCCATAAATTGAATCTTGTGGTCTTCCTCTTTATGTTATACTCCATCTGAGTAGAGAGAGGACTTGAAAATTATCTAGGGACTTTATCTAATTAAAATCTCTAGGTACAGAGAGACTCATATATTATATAACCAGCTCAAGTTATAATTATTGCCAATACACACTCCAAAGTTCTGATCCAGTGTTTTTGCCATTATACTAGACTGCCCTAAATGCTACCCTTTTCAATACAGCTTCCCTTTATATTTACTTCATATCCTTTGTAGGTCTCAAGTGATTGTATACCTCATCCCCAGGTAATAATCTGTCAAATCTACCCATCTTTCTCCATATCTGCCTTCACTGCTCTAGTCCATGCCACCCACATCTCTTATCTGGAGCACTGCCATTGTTTTCCCTTTGAAAGCAGAGGCTTTCCTGCATTGGTCCTTCTGATACATTCTCCATACACTCAAATAACCATTCCAAAACATAGCCCAGGCCATATCATCAAATTAAAGTATTCCCCATCTGGTGATGGGAGATCAAATCCAGGGCTCCATATATGCTAAGCATATGCTCTACCACTAAGTCACATCCCCAGCCCTCTTTAGGTATTCTTTATCTCCTATATAACAGGAGTAAGTTCTTAAAACCACACTATCTCACCCATTTATGTTTCCACTTAATTTCTCAGCATTTCTCTATTCATTTCTGCTCCACCTAAAATAAATTTACCAATCCCCATCCTCTATGTGTGCATTGACTTCTCTAATATCATTTCTCATACCACATCCAGTTCTTTACCTAGCCAATTCTTAATCACCTTTCACATTCTTTTAAATAGCTAGTTACTTTTGGCCTCTCCCTTAATATATGTCTGTGTGTATACATATAAACTTGTTGCTAAGCTAGAACATGAATGTATTTAACCTCCCCGCCAAGAAGAACATGAGTTCTTTGAGCGTAGCATGCCTCAAGCACATTTGTGACTCATATAAAGCCAAATATCTGGGCACAAAAAATATAGGGGACAGAAGAACATTCTTGATTACTCCAGGGAAGCCTCCCATTACTTACATTTTTTCCTGTATAGCTACTCAAACCAGACATAAGAAATGAGAAATCCTGGAGATGTATGTAGCTCAGTGGTAGAGTACTTGCCTAGATGTGAAAGGCCTTAGATTCACAATCATCAAAATCCCAAAGATAGACAGGCAGATAAATACATACTTATAAAATAAAATACGAGAACAAGAAATTAATGAGATTCTTAGATCTCAATTGAACTATGTTTACAGTCAAGTGAAGGTGCATGATTTGTTCCTCTTTTCATTGAAGTGCGCTCATCATTTGATCTATTATATCATATAGCTCACCAGAGGGTTCCACTACATACTGCTTAGAGAAAAAAAGAGACTTTTCATTATTTTACGCTTCATGCTCCCACTCAGTTTCACTAGAGTCCTATGTTAGTGAAAATCAAGCACGTGCTAAGCCAGGAGTAAAGAACATCTTGTTTTCTACTTATTAGGTTCCCTATTCCCTCCCTACCCACTACTAAGGAATACACTTTCTCCTTGGAAACTGACAAAGAATAGAAAATTAAATACTTAGGGAAATTATGAGATGACTTAGTGAGTAAGGATGTCTGAGTTCAATCCCTGGAGCCTACCTACATGGTGGAAGGACAAGATTGACTCCTATAAGTTGTCTTCTGAACACCATAAATTTGCTGTGGCATGCATGCATGCACATATGTGCACGCGTGCGTGCACACACACAAGATAAATAAATGTAAAAAAATGTAAAGATTCAGACAAGGATTGCCACTGATGAAATTTTTAAAATGAAAATTAAGGATTTGAACATTCTTGTAATCTTCTATAAACATCTAATTGCATCCAAGTCTTCAGAATTCAATGAATAAATGTAAAAGTGAATGAAAAATGAATGACAGAATGACATAAAAGAGACAGCATGAAAAAGGAAAGAAGAAAGAAAATAAAATTGAGGGGATGGCCAGGTGTATTGGTATATGGCTGTAATCCCAAAACTTCAGAGGTGGAGTCAGAAGGATCAGGAGTTCAAGGTTTGGCTCATTTATATAGCAAGTTCAAGGTCAGTCTGGGCAACAAGAGACCCTGCTTTAAGATACATGGGAGCATGGACAAAAGCAAGCAAGCAAGAAGCAAACAAGCAAAAGGGTCTTTGGCTGGAGCTCACTGGTACAGGTCTTGCCTAGCATGCAAAATACCCTAAGTTTGATCTCCTGTAAAACGAAAGAAGGAAGAAGAAAAAGGGAAGAAGAGGAGGAAGGGAGGAAAAGGAACACAGCAAGTATGTTTAACTCTAGCTCTAGACTTGTGACAGTACTTTGATAGAAAAACTGGAGCTTAGTGTACCTGACCTTGGAAATTCCACCATTAGGGACCCATCCACACCCATATCTAAGAAAATGTAGTCTAACTCTTTTCCATCTCTATACCCAAGAGCAGCAACAAGATCCAAGTTCAGTTCTTTCCCACTCTCTGTATTGCCAGTGGCAACTGTAGCAACCAGTCAGGAATGTGATGCAACATTTGCGGTTGAAGAAGCGTTCTGTCCACAGATCGGGATTCTCATGTGATAGTTCTGTCATCTTATTCTCAGTTAGGATGTCCATCTTATTCTCAGTTAGGATGTCCTTATGCATGATTTGCTCTTTTGCTGGAAGGACAAATGAAATAATCAGAACCCAGTGTAGCTCCTGTTCATTTACTCTAGCCTGCCACTACAGACAATTCTATAAGCAACAGATAGATAAGAAAATTCATTTACAATCAAGGACAAAATTCAGGATTCAGGGCAGAGGAATAAAAGCTGCATCCAAGCTCTCTGACTAACTTGTTGAACACTTTTTGCAGCCATTGCACCATCCTAGATATACTTCTCTCACTTCTGAAGTGAGACCATATTTCTATCCTAATCAAAGAAAAGGTGCTCAAAGCAGCAAATTACACAGTATTAAACTGCCATATTCTCTTGAAATAACCCAGGGCTGGGCAGTGGTGGTGCACACTTTTAATCCCAGAGTGAGGGAGGCAGAGGCAGGCGGATCTCTGTGAGTTTGAGGTCAGCCTGGTCTACAACACTACACAGAGAAACCCTGTCTCAAAACAAACAAAAAACAAAAACAAACAAAAAAATGAAATAACCCAGGATGTTAAAGGCATGGGTGAATACATAAAAAAATGCCACCCTCAACTAATGTGTGATTCAAACCCAGCCTCCTGCCCCTTTCCTTTCTTATTCTTTGTCTTAGTCAGGGTTACTATTGCTGTGATGAAACACCATGACCAAAAGCAACTGGGGAGGAAGGGGTTTATCACAGTTCTATATAACAATTTATCACCAAAAGTAGTGCAGGCAGGAATTTAAGCAGGACAGAAACCTGGAGGTAGGAGCTGATACAGAGGCCATGGAGGGGTGCTGCTTGCTGGCTTGCTCCTCATAGCTTGTCAAGCCTGCTGCTTTCTTATAGAACCCAGGACCACTAGCCCAGGGATGGCATCACCCATAATGGTCTGGGCAATGCCCCATCAATCACCAATTAAGAAAATGCCTTACAGGCTTGCCTATAGCCCCATCTTATGGAGGTATTTTAATTGAGATTCTTCTCATATGACTTTAACTCGTGTCAAGTTGACATAAAACTATATAGCACACTTTCTATGTGAGATCAGTCAAAGTTAGCTTCAACTATGCATGGTAGAATATCAGCAACAGTTGAAAAACTGCACTTTAGTTTTTTATTTTGTTTTATTGAGACAGGATTTCTCTGTGTAACCCTGGCTGTTCTCAATCTGTGGACCAGACTGGCCTTGAACTCAGAGATTCACCTGCCTCTGCCTCCCAAATTCTGGGACTAAAGGTATGTGCCACCACTGCCTAGCTGAAAAAATACACATTTATTTTTCCTTTTTGTCAACAGCAATGTATTATACAAATGGAATAAAGTATAAGCTGGGCACGGTGGTACACACCTGTAACCCAGCATCTATTTAGGTTGAGGAGAAAGAAGGACTGCAAGTTCGAAGTTGATGTTGACTGCATAGTCAGATTATGTCTTAAAAAATGAATTTGAAGAGAGAAAGAGAAATAGGGAGAACATGTTCAACACTTGAGTCTACAGTTGAATGCTAGTAACTTCCCTGAAAGAACATGGATGATTAAAAGTAATCCAACCAACCACCTTACCCTAGATGCATAAGTCCCAATGAAAAAGCAAAGAAATATGAAAAACCAAAAACAATTCTGTAAGCATTGCAGCACAGATGGAAAGGTATCCTGGCAGTTGGGAGCCAAGGAATACCACAAAGTCACTGTTACAGCTGGACTCCTCTCCGGCAAAAATGTCACACCACACAACAAACCTCACTCGAGATTTATTGGGAAGGATCCAGGAGGGTGGTTGCCTCTAGGGTAAGGAGCAGCACCAAACTGAACAGGGTACAGAGCTTATGTAGGGTTTCTTGGGGGCAGAGCTTTCCAAGGTGGCTTGGGAATGATGGATTTTTGTGGTCTGACTCTGGGACAAACTCAGGAATTGGTGGGATTTCATGCTTATCGATTAGTGGGATTTCGTGCTCTTGGATCTCAGGGATTAGTGGGATTTTGAAGCCTGACTCTGGGACAAGCTCAGGAATTAGTGTCATTTCAAACCCTGGTCCTGGGGTCAAGGCAGGATCAGGGTGTTTTTCCTTGGCCCAGGTCTCAGGTGTAGTCAGAAGCAGGCTGTTTTTTCCTTGGCCCTTTTCACCTTACAAATGCAACTCCTCCAAAAATGAACAATTCACAAATTAATGGCCTCCAATGAGAGTGAATTAAACAAAATCCCAAATAATTCAAAAGAATGATTGTATTCGACGAAAACAAAGAAGACACAAATTCCTGAATGAATTCCTAGAGAACACAAACAAGTGAATGAAATAAGAAATTCAATCTAGGATATGAAAGTGGAATCCAGCAAAGACAGAAATATTGAAGAAAAAAAAACCTGAAGTAATGGAAATGAGAAATCCAATAGTTGGGAAAAAAAATTCCATATGGGTCTGAGGAGATGGCACAGTGAGGAGAGCAGTGCTCTGCAAGCATGACTTAAGGATCTGAGTTTGAATATTTAGCACTATGTAAAAAGCTGGGCATGGCTGTGTATGCTTGTAACTTCAGCATTGGTGGGTACCTACCAAAAAAACAAAAAACTGAGTTTCAAGTTCAGTAAGAGATCCTGTCTTAAAGCAGTAAGTCCGATAGTGTTAGAAGACATCTAGTGTCTTGCTCTGGCCTATGTGTATGCATGCATGCACACCCTGCATTCACATGCATGCAGCATGCACACACTCCATGGAAAGTCTCACCAATATACTGGATCAAGGGGAAGGCAAACTATCGGAAATTGAAGACAATGTAGAACAATTGGAGCATTCAGACAAAGATAAAGAAACTACAAATAGAACATTCAATATCTATGAAGCACTATGGAAAAAACAAATCTATGAATCACAGACATAAAGAAGGAAACTTTCATGCTAAAAGCCAATGAAGCAGTAGAAAATATCCCAAATCTAAGGCAAGAGACATTCATCTTGGTACAAGAAGAATTTAGAACAACAAACAGACAAGATCAGAGAAGAACCTCCTCAAATTACAGTTAAAATAATAAATAAACAGAACAAAGAGCATCTGAAAGCTGCAATAGAGAAACACCAAGCCACATTTAAAGGTATATTCATCATAACAACAGCAAGCTTGTCAACAGTAACTTTTAAAAGTCAGGAGGTCTCAGAAGGATGTATTTCAAGTTCTAAGAGATATCAACTGCGAATTCAGACCACTATACCCAGCCAAACTGTAGTATCTGAGGGGGAAAAAAAAAACTTACCATGGGGGGTGGGAGATAGGCTAAAGCAATTCATGACCATTAAGCCAGCTCTACAAAAAGATACTTAAAGGAATCCAATAGGCTGAAAAGAAAGATAAACATACCCAGGAGGACACAGAAATAACATTAGCATAGTTAAGCAAATGAGGAACAGGAAAACATCAAACACTAGAAGATGAATGAAGTAACAGAAATTAATACATGTTTCAACAGTAACACTGAGTATTAATGGCCTCAATTTCCTACTCAAAAGACACCATGACCACAGCAAATCTTTTTTTGTTTCTTGTTTTTTGAGACAGGGTTTCTCTGTGTAGCTTTGGAGTCTGTCCTTGAACTCACTTTGTTGACCAGGCTAGCCTTGCACTCAAAGAGATCCTCCTGGCTCTGCCTCCCAAGTGTTGGGATTAAAGGCATGCACTACCACCTGGCAAGAATTAATGTCTTAAAGAATGTATATTTTGGCTGGACTGTGGTGTCCCACGCTTTTAATTCCAGCAATTGGGAAGCAGAGGCAGGAGGATCTCTTTGAGTTCGAGGCTAGCCTGGTTTACAAAGCAGAGAAACCCTATCTCAAAAAAAAAGAATGTATTTTTCTAAAAGCCATATTTAGTATATTTTGCAACAATAAAAAACAAATGCAAACACTCCATGCTAACATAGATGATATAAACAACCAGAGCTAGGCGTTGGTGGCGCACGCCTTTAATCCCAGCACTCAGGAGGCAGAGGCAGGTGGATCTCTATGAGTTCGAGGCCAGCCTGGTCTACATAGAGAGTGCAGGATAGGATAGGCTCCAAAGCTACACAGAGAAACCCTGTCTCGAAAAACCAAAAAACCAAACAAGCAAACAAACAAACAAACAATAAAAAACAACCAGTGTAGGAGTCAGTTAAGAGAGCACACAGAGGCCACAGATGAAGGCTAAGCCTTTCAATGACTAAAAGGATTGTTTTGTCCCCTCCCCTTCATTCTGCAAAGGGTGCGCACGATTTACAAACCATTTGATGTTCCTTTTCGTCCTTTGATTTTTTTGTGCGGCTCCACTTTTTTCGCTTTGACACCATGTTGATCCATATACAGCCTGTATCCCAGAATTGCTGTTTCAGAAATAAAAATGTTTTGGCTTTGGTTTTTTAACAACAAAGAAATGTATCCATGAATCAGTAAGAAACAGATAACTAGAATATTTTACATTTGGGAATTAAATACATTAAAAAAATCATACGTCAACACAAAATAATCACAAAGGATATGAGAAACAAGTTGAGTAAATCACTGTGTGTGTGTATGTGTGTGTGTTTATATCTTGGTGTGACTAGTTGCAAGTACTGGGAAATCTACTGGCAGATGTGAACAACGGTTTTGTGATAGAAGGGTAAACCGAACACTGAATATTACCTAACTAGCATTTCAATGTACCCACGGAGCCTTTGAGTTTTTGCGCTGGCCAGGGTAGCTGAATTCACACAAACTGCGACTACTTAGCAGGAGATCAATTAAGTTGTTTCCCTTCCAGACCTTTTCACTCATTCATTCCAACAGCCTGAAGAAATCGCCACTTAAATTTCTTACAGGTACTTCAAAATAAATATGTGTAAAACTAAACCATCAATCACCCTCCCAAATCTATTCCTTCTGAAGTCTGTCCAATCTCAATCTAAAGGACATAACCATTCACCAGCTTGACTGAAGGAAAAAAAATCAGTGATTCCAGGGACTGAGCGAGACATTTCTCTTGCCACAGAAACTAGAGAGATGAACGAAGCAT